TGTTATATTCCGAGAAAAATGACCCAAAATCCGATATTTTCGGTATGGGGGACCTGTGTTTTTTTTTGTGAATTTTTTTTCTAGAATATTTCCATCTTTTTCAGCATAAAAAACTGCCTAAGAAGTTGTCTTTGGAGACGTTTCGTGTTTTTTTTCTGACATTTTCGGTATATATGACGATATACCAAGACACGTTCCGAAAAAACGACCTAGAACTCGAAATTTTCAATAGGAAGGGACCCATTTTTTTTCACCAAAAGTGTTTTCTAGACCACTTCGGCATATTGAGCGAAAAAAAAATCGAAAAAAATCCTTTTCCAAAACGTGGTAGGGACTCCATGGATCTACCCTTAAAAGGAACTACAAATGGATTTCATGCGATGATCGAATGTCAATGTAAAGTGAAAATTACATTAGGAAAATATGATGGTAAACTAATACCATCTAATTTTTATCGCCATTTGAAATCGCCTGGTTGTAAATTTATGAACCGTTTATTGAAGGAACAGATTCGTGATGAATATAACAATGAAAACAATTCAAACCCACCAACTGCATTGTCAAGTCAATTGAAAACCAAGAATTCTCAATTGGCTACGTCGTCTGTTACTGTTGATCAGAAACGTTCGCTTGACTCTACACACAGTTTGAGTTCTAAAAGACAAAAAAAAACTTGAAAAAAATTATTTTCATATTATTTCTTTATTAAGTCAGAGTCAAATTGTACAGTTCTGTTTTTCGAGATTATAACCTTATTTCGTTAGATTCAATTAGTTCTTAATGTGTATATTATATATGTTCTTCTTATTGCGTGATGTACTATAGAATCTTCAGTCTACTTTCATCCTTGTCTAGATATTAAATATATTTGAATACCAGATCGCATAGAATAATGTCAAGTAACTTTCGTCGTTTTATATGGCACATTAGTTTCTGCCATTCATATTATGTGGTAGAAGTTATACCTTCGTTAACAGGAAGACACTTTGAAGTGTTTTCCTTATGACAATATATTAACCTATGCTTTCACAGAAAAGAACCGTGTGCTTAATAAAGTCTCTCTGTCAAATTTAAACGACTTCAATTGATTATTAGTGATTACTATTGATTATGGATGATTAGTATTGATTAGAAGTGATTAGATGATTATTTAAACTCCTAATCCGCTGTTTCCCCCTTGGTCATTCGTTATACGTATATATGCATTAGAGAAATTATATGTTTTCATTGTTACCCTTCATAGTGAATTCGATGAGAGGGTTGAAATAGTCTTGCTTAAGTTCGAAATTTGTAGTCTTGGATTGGCGAGGGTATCCTTTAGAGTGGTATTCGCATCTTTATTCGCACATTCTCACCCTCGAGCTTATCCAAACCATGATTTTACTTTAAGAAGATGCACCCTGGAACATTCTTGACGAAATGGTCAAACTAAACAGCTACTGATAATTTGTAAATTCGAAATGAATTAATCTTTGTGTCAGTCAAATCACATTTGAATCCCGCATAGATTTGTACACATTTCAATTTATCTTCGATGAAACAAAATGAAAGAAAAAAGAGAAAAATTGAAATGATGCTATTTAAAAAGAATCAAAACAAAGTTGCGTTATCAACCATAAGAATTAAACATTTTAATTTCACATGAACTGCATTCACACGTTTCTTTCAAGAGTGCTACATGTAAAACTGCCATCCATAATAACTATGGATTTGTTTTTTGTCGATTTCCCTTGGTTCCTGCATTCAACACCTCAATGCCGACACGTCGAGGTGGTCGTCGAAAACACAGAACTTTGACGAGCTTCTGTCGAAGTTCAGGCAATGACAGAGTACAAACAAAAGGAAAAAGTGGCAACAGAAAATAACTGAAAAACACTGTATACAGGTAGAAATCATATAGTACATCTGATGTTACAACATACACCAAGAGATTGTAGGAAAATGTGAGAGGAAGAATCAATACCGGGTAAAGAAACGATATTGACAATAACTGGGTTGCCATCTTTCGATACTTTCGCCATTGGATCGTTTGTTGAATATGGCGCTTCTGCCATATAACACGTATCAACAACGCAATACTAAACACAACTATTGTCAAAATGGGAGCCATCTGATGAACTATTACATCGTACGTGCTCAATGCTGCTGTGTTATAGAGACATGAAATCAAGCAGTTTGCGTAATCATTGAGAACGTTTTCACATGGTGGAAAGAAATCCAAGATGATATTGTACACAATACAATAGAGAAGAAGGATGATGATTGGGAGATAGTGAACAAAGAAACGTCTCTTTCGTGTTGATACCCATTTCTCGTGAAATATCAGAATATGTCTTTCGATGGTAGCCCAAGCAAAGAGTATTGTATGTGTGAGAAATAGTCCCCAGTCAATAAATGACCAGATCTTACAAAATATCATCGATCTTCCTTCCCAAACACCATCGTTGTAATAGAAATAGATCATCCATGGATATATTGTGAGTTCATTGATGAGATCGATGATGAGAATGATGATGATGGCATGATTATGAAGAGCATAACGAAGAGTTCGATCGAAAAGAAGATTGAAGAGAACAAATAACAGACAGAAGAATGATGGAATCAGCAAGAGAAGTAATGACCAGAACCACACTGCATTGGATATCATTGCTTTTGTAGTTGTGAGAGTTTTGTTCTTGTATCGAGATTCGAGGCGAGAAATGAATCTTTGAAAGTAAGAAGAAAATGTTTATATGCTTTTCCACATGATGAAATCATTATGTTAAAGCTTTTTCCTCTGATTTTCTTCGCAATACCATGACAGGAGCAAAATGGTCGTAGTTCAAGATAATTGCAGGTTCTGGATAGATAAACCAGAAATATATTCATAAGGAAGATTATATATGCATAGTTACCTTTCACAATGAATTTAATGGTAGGGTTTGAAATAGCGACGTATGAGCTGGAACATATCGGTGAGAACTGAATTAAAAGAGAAATACTCACGTTTAGTGAATTTAGTGTAAAAAGTATCTTTTTCCTGTAGAATAAGGTCATATTGTACTCAAAATTGATTGGTATGCTCTAATTGAAATGGAAAGTGTGTAAAAACATTTAGGTTTCGACAAAAATAGTGTTTTGTAGCATTTTAAAGTCTTACCTTGCGAGGAATATGACTCATAAAAAATATTCTCATGGATAAAGCGATTTTACCGAGATACGATTTGTTGTTAGGAAAAGAATGATGTATACGATCCTGTTTTGTCTATTTCTTTATTAAACATATCATTCTTCTATGCTTCTATGTTTAGTCTGTATCTATCTTCTATATATATAAAGAAGAAAGTTTGTTTGTCTGTCTGTTCGCTATGCATTCAGTCCCTGTAGCAGCTATCGGCGTGAAACTTTCCACAATGCTTCCTGAGACCCAGAGGAAGGTCGACATCTACTTTTCCCCGAGAACAAAGGAGCCAGCCGTTTGCTGCAGGCAATATATGAAACGGACCAATAGGATTGCGAGATT